TGATCAACCTATCCTAGTCGGGGTCTCGTTCACGGTGCAATGTCTCTATCCAAAATAAACGTCGTTGCTAAATGAAAGAAAGTGGTTGTCCAGTGCTTGTCCTCAGCGTTTTATTCTTTGAATTTTATGTATTCATGTTCAACCCCCTCGCCTTCACCAGTCTCTCAATACATTGTTACAAGTTTTGTTGCTGAGTTTGAAAAAAAAAAAAAAGAAAACATTATGCACATAGGTTTTTATTTTCCGTCCGCCATTAGAAAATTGCCGAACACAGTGGCAAAGGCTTAAGAAAAAAACAACGCACTGATGTAACGAATTGTCCCCCAACAACGCCGCTTGACAAAATGATGGAAAGGGCGGTTAGCACATGCGTCAGTCGGCGAATACCGGTACTAACGCCCTTCCTGCGTCTATAAAGGATTCTTATTATTTCTGGGTAACCTTTATCATATCTGCAGAGGCCTTTGTTTTGGAAGACTTGTTTCCCCAGGCGACGCAGATCAGTGGAAAGTATTATTGAAAACAAATAAAGACAGGCAAACATTTTGGCGACAAATTGTTCAATGGCACCCGTTAAGTTCAACCCTTCAATTTCCCGTCTTTTTGGACGACACGTTTGTTCTTCAAGGAAGTGCTACCCTTACCTCGCGGTTGCGTGAAGTAATGCAAACCCAAGGCCATACGTCAGCCAGACGAGACTGCAATATTCGCTGTGCTATGGCATGATTGCTAGGATATCATCCAATGTTCTGCAATGAACGTTGCGCGGAACTTATGTACGAGTGCGGCGACATCCGCCGACGTCGCAGCACTTGAGCCGGGTAAGGTAATCCGAGCTCTCGGGGGCCGCTCGGTCGAGCGAAGAAAAGTTCTGTGGGGAGCGGGTGTAGGAACAAATGGTCCCGGAACTAATGGTCTCGGAACTAATGGTCCCGGAATAAACGGTCCCGGAAAAAATGGTCCCGGAACTAATGGTCCCAAGTTCAAGGTAGGAAAAAATGGTCCTGTAAGAATATCAATTTGAAACTAAGATACACCATGCAATATATTTCATCCGTTAGGCAATCAGTGATTTCCTGGTGGAATGAAGGATCTCGTCTACATTTTAAGGCCGGTTACTTCGAAGAAAGTGGTCGGGTATTGGACTTAATTTTCTTTAAAGTCGTCAGAATATTCTCGAAATGAATACTGTCCAACAGTTATCTCCTAAATGTTAATTTAGTGACCTGATTCGATATTGTAGGAGTTACTGCTATTTTCGTTAAGGGGCTTTAGCATATTTATGTGTCAGTAGGCTCTTTTTAAACAAAAAATGAGTACACTTAGTCATTCTGCTGAGGCCATGAAACTCGACTTACTTCCATCTCGCCATGACGCGTGATGGTAGCACACAGAACGAGCGGAGCTCAATGCCTTCATAGGTGCATTAGGTTTCCATGCACATTTGGCGTTCCTCTATGTCTCTTTAACCAGATCGGCAACTGCACTAGCTAAGTTAAAAAATATTTTACGACAAGATGTTCAGAAATTACACAATTTATTGATAACACATATATGGACGTGCCTTAACATCTTACACCAGGTGTTCAAAACCGTAAAGTGCCACTGACACCTCGAAAAATTCCTCCATCGTCTTTGCTCCCTATAGTCGAACTCGTTGAAGAGAGTCTGCACTCGGCGCTGCATCTGGACCAGCGCTGTTTTTGCTTTCTTCTCCATAAAAACTCCCGAGCAGTTTTTACGGAGACAGATAAAGCTTTCACCCGTAGAGCGTCGATCGCCTTCCATACAGTTGGATGGCTATGCCCCACTATGCTGCTGATTCCCCGGTTAAATGCTTCGCAGTTGTTTTTGAGCATCATTTTTGTACGTCAGTGTTTTTGAGCATCATTTTTGTACGTCAGTGTTTTTGAGCAGTATATTTATATTAGCGAGCCCCATTTGATTATTGTCGTAGAGAGGCTGCCTAACTTTTTTTTTTATATGGGCTGAAGATATATTAATATATGACGCTTGTAGAACAAAAGCTTAAATAAAAAATAAATAAAATCAGTGCAAAACATTTTTGAGCTTCCCAGAAAAATATAAAAACCGGACGAGTTCGTGCAACCGGTAGCACCGAAACTCGGTGCTTTTCGTATAAATTGGAAACCGTAAAATGTTTTACCGGCGAGTGTTATTGGATTTTATCGGATTTATTCGAAAACGCCGAACCCATATTGGCAATATTTATATGGGGCAATTTTTTCCTAGTTTGTCCTTGGGACTATTAGTTCCGGGACCATTTGTTCCGGGACCATTTATTCCGGGACCATTTGTTCCGGGACCATTTGTTCCGTTTCCCGTGGGGAGCCGCTGTGTCGGTGCGTGCGTACGTGACCCCAAGTGTCTACAAAATTTCTCCAGAACGTTAGAACATTCCGAGGACAACCTAACGACATTCACATAACTAAGTGTGCTGCTAGGGAGGCTTCTTGAAAATGTTGCAATTTGCGACAAAATAGGATCCTATGTAAAATATCTACTGGAACTGTATTACATTTTAGTTGTTGCGTTTGTGCAACCGTTACAATATCATCATTTTCTAACTTTGTTGTTTTTCTCCCTGGTATATTGTGAGCCAGTGCGGTTACACTTTGTGGTTTATGTTTGTTCTTACTTACGCCGCACTCGTGTAATGCGCCATGTATTTATAAATAAACTCATTAACGCGTTCGGCAGAATGACCAAACATGCAGCCAATTTTTCTTTTGTAGTTGTCTGTTTACCTATGTTTTCGTTCTACCCTAAGATAATAGCTTCTTTTATAACAAAGCATAGATCGAAAAGCCGGTAGGTTCACGGTTCTGACCATGCATAACGAAAAATGAGCAAGGAGGGAATACAAGTCTTTTTTCCTGTTTCATGCGGTATGGAGACTGGTCATTGCTCCGAGGACGGCTTTGCTCCGAGGACGCTCATTGCTCCGAGGACGGTTCAACATAAAAGCGCACAAATGACATGGACAAAAATATGTCATTAGTTGTTAATAAAGCAGGAGTTTAGTCTGCCAGAACATGGCGAAACTGTTACCCTCTGTAAAAAAAGCAATTTTGCCAGTGCAGTACGACTAGTAGCTGGGGGTCTTTAACTTGCGTCACGCAGTAGAGTAAACGACCACATACAACAACAAAAAGTAATTAATCTTCAGTTGCCTACGTATAGTTTAGACTGCCAGAGTATGGCGACATTGTTACCCACTGTAGATGAGCAATTTAGCCAGTGCAGTACTCAGGCTCGTAGCCAGGATTTTGTTTGGGGGAGGGAGAGGCGCTCATTACAAAATGCTGTATGAGGGGGAGAGGGGAGAGAAGGTCCCAGCAAAATGAAAGATTAAGAACGGGGGGGGGGGGGGGGGGGGGGCTCTTTATGGGAACTTTCTCTCTCGTATCAAAGATGCGGTTTCCAAGTTCCTTTTCGTTTGATTTTCATTTTTACACAACAGCACCGAGAAAAAAGGGGTCAGTTCTTTTGTAAAAAGGCAAGGCCGTTTGCGTTCCTATCGAAGCACGATTAGGGAGTTTTCGTAGATCGTTTTCGCCGTCCCGCAAGGCCCTCCGCAACCCGCTACGATAGCGGGAACTCCACAGTCAAGGCTATCGGGGCGCAGGCGCAGTAGCAACTTCTTCGTTGCGGAACGCTTAGTGGAGGGGGCAACACGGTCTACGAAAACTCCCTTTTCTCGTTGCGGGTAGTTTAGCGGAGGGAGAAAAGCGGCTTATGAAAACTGCCCAGTCTTGCGACGGCTGTTCGGCTGATGAGCGGACCACTTTAACGAGTCTATGACAAAATGACCTAGAACCAGAAGGCCGGTGTGACCAGTTGGCCTATGACGAGTTCTCCGGAGACGACTCCGGGTTGTGACGAGTGGGCCGCTTCCCATCAGGATCACCAAAACCAAGTCAACCGATTTTTAGGGCTCGACTCCAGACGCCCTCTAAACTCTATTTCACTTTATGACGTACCGCAGGAAAGGCCACAAGCGCGAGCTCCTTGCTCTGGGACACATCTCGGCGGCACAAGCTTTCGTGCAGTACGGGCAGCTGCCAACGCTGCGCTCGCGCTTCTAGCCTTCACTGCGCTAAAACATAAGGTAAAACGGGGTATAAACATATGTCCGGATATTGACGGTGCCACCCACAAGTGACTTGGCGCGACACTTCCTTCCGTCAAGAATTCTTTAAAAAAAAATAATCATGCTTTTCAAATCGAGACGTTGGAATTCCTGCCTCGGTCCTAGCTGGCCCTAGCAGAGATTGTTCAGCAACAACTCGAGGCCATTCCCTTTTCTCCGAAACCGTGCTCGCGTAGAAAACAATTAGATATAATAACACAAAAAAAAATCGAAAAGAGCGAAAGTATGCAGGCAAGCGGGTTTGGAAACATCATAAGACAAATTCTCCTGAGACAAGGAGAAATAATATAACGACCAAGACAACACAAATTCTCAAAGTGTCGTCCTGTTTGTTGTATTATTCTCCCTGTCTCAGGGTTTAGATTATAAAAAAAGGATAATTTTTTTTATAAAATTGATGCGCTATCGCGGCGTCTGCTAGCGTTCGCCAGAGAAGAAATTTGAGCCAACTTCGAGAGCACGAAAGCCACCCGCTAAAGATGACAAATATGATAGTACTATTTCTAGCAAGGTGTATGGGAACATCATTTCGACTGGACACAGCCCCGCTTTACGTATAAAGTGCGAACATGATAGAAGAATATTGACGAAAGTTAAAGCCAGTCTTATACTTCATTCACACGATCATTAATGGACCTTTGCTCTCAGCTGCGAATCAATTAACGACCATCCGCGTGTGGCAAGTGATTGCAACTCAAGCGCGCGAACTCATTCGCCCATTGCGAAGGCACTTATGCTAACGCTCCCTTTTTGCTGGCCGTTTGAATGGGGTATAAGTCCTTGAAGAAGCGATCCTCGCCCATACCGTTTAACAAACACCACTATATTTGTAAATTGCAATGCTTTTATTTCAATTTTCGGGCGCGTACAAAAAGGAGGAAACAAAAACAAAAAGCTGCATTTGCAGCTTAATAAGGTGCTGTCTTGACACACGTAGGCGAAAAGCAACATTGTAGAAAGAAAAAGACTAAGATAAAAACACAAACTCGAGCACAGCTGCTCATAGTATTGCGCTAATAGATACTTCCAGAAATTAAAGCAGAAACACGAGCACAACTACTGACAAAATTTCACTGATAGACACTTCCTGCGCGAAAAAACAATTTAAAATTCATACACGAAACTGCACACGTAGGGAAGACGTGAAATTGTAGATTTTATTTAATACAGTGCTAATATTTGATTTGATTTCCTAAAGAGATTCAGGGTATTTACTTCCAGTTCATCAAGTAACAATGGCAAAGCATACTGTGATGATACCAAACCAGGATTTGTAGTTAGTGTTAATATTCTCAACATCTCGCCATGACAATTAAGATATTTCAAAGAAAACGCGAAATAAAAATAATGGATAATAAAATTAAAATAACCAATCATGCTCCCTCAATTTACACTACCTTATAAAGAACGTTAACATTAATTAATGTTTGCGGTGAACTGCTTGCACAGTAAGGAAGCTACAAACAAGGCAAGGTGAATATGTTTAAAAAAATGCTGAAAAATATTGGCTTTGAATTAGTATACGCTCGTCTAGTGTGAGTCAACGCTTCCTTTGTGGTTTAGTCAGAGGTGAGCTTGACGAGAACCACGTTTGCACTGCCAAAACTTAAAGCGCGCTTGAATTTGAGCACAAAGATTTTTTCCGTCGAAGGCAGCAAGCCGCGGTGGCGGGCCTCTCCCAGGAGCTTGCCACCGGCGGGGACGTCTTCAGCTTGGATGGAGAAGTTGAAGTCCTTCTTGCGCTCTCCTGGCTCCAGGTGAGTCATGTACAGGCTGTACATAAGCTCGTCGTTTCCATGCCATAACTCCTCCATTACAGGGCCGGCGCAGTTGATCTCGAGAAAAAAGATCCGACTGGTCTCCCGGTGTCTGAAAATGGTGCTGAGGTCGCCAGGATGAACTGCATCGTGCAATTTCACCAGCCATAGCAGTTCGTTGTCGAACAGGCTGACTCCTCCAATCATTGCGGGCTGCTTTGTTTCAAGCTTTGTTCCTTGGACTCTCTGGTTGCTGCGTTCAATAGTGGTCATCAGTTCAAGTTCTTGAATCCTCTCGTGTATGTCATCAAAACACGAGACGTGGTTTCTGAAGTTCAAGTGTTCCTTTATCTTCGCCTCGGCGGCTTCAAAACTGCAGCCATGCTTTTTCATGGGACACGGCTTGGGCGTCTTGCTGCAGTCTCTGGCGTGAACGGGCATCAATCCTCGTCGGATATTATCCTCGTGGCAGTAGTTGCAGGACACTAGGACCTCTTCGCAAACTGCAAGGTGGGCGGAAAGCTTGAGGGCGTAGCATCCCTGGCCGCAGAACTGGCACTCGGTAATACGAAGTCGGCATTCGAAACTCACGTGATCCGCGAGGGACTTCTTGGACGGGGCTTGGTCGCATTCGTTAGGGCAGGAGACCGGGACAAACCCACACGTCTTGACATGCTGTTTTGTCTCACAGATGGTTTTCTGGAATTTGCAGCCGTACTTCCTGCCGGGGCACCAGAACTTCTGGGTAGCAGCGTTGCAGTGATTGCAGTCGTCGATGCTGGACTCTTGCATTAGACATTTGTTACAAATCATATGCAGGCACTGGTTGGCCATCCAGACGTCGAGGGAATCCTTGCCGCACTTCTGACAATTTTCCAACTTTGCCATGATTGAAGTACAAGCTATGTCAGGCCGAGTTTCTTTACCCCTAGACCAGCGTGCATGAAAACTCTCTGGCGACAAAAGAGTACGCCTGGCAACACGAAAGGCGCGACAGGATGACTCAAACATCCGTCGGATATAGCGGCACTGTCCTTATCGTGTTCCGTGAGTCGCCCATTGGCTCTTCTAAAACAGCATCCGCGTGTTGGTAAAGAGAACCTTCGATAAACCCTCTCTTAGTGCGCTATGCGTTAGATAACGTACTTCCATAGACGTTTTTGTAGCGGTAATAAGTTGCTTTTTTTTTTGGGAGTTTTAACGTAAGCCACATTTGGTTCGCTGTGCAAGATATCTCGTCTTCCACAGAAACTGCAGCTTAGGCTATGGTTTAGGGCGCAATGAAAAACTGGGCCTCGACAGTGTGTCTTGCGCATCAAGTGAAAGCGAACGGTGATTTTATCACTCAGTGCATCCAATTACTTCCATGTATTACCGTGAGCTGTAATAAGGTTGATAGCTGGGCCCGTAGCATGGCATTGACTGACCATTCTGAGGTAAAATTGCGCAAACACAAATAGAACAAAAAAAGGAAAAAAAACACGGGACAGTTAAGAGAGGACGGAACAGATTGACATGCTAAACTCCACATCACTCTCTTGCTTTGTTCTATCTCGTCCCATACTTTTTTCTATTTGTGTTCGCGTGATTTTACCTCAGTGTGTTTTAACGCGAGTATTCTTGTGTACACTGTATTACATGTACACATTCGGTGCATTTCACAAATATTGACAATAATCAGAAACTTGCTAAAAAAAGCAAAAAATACACTACTGTGGCGTCGTTTGTGACAGACAGCACGCTTAGCAAGCAAAAGGAAAGACTGCACAATTTTAAAGCAACCGCTACAGGAAACCATCCGGTCTTTATTTTCTGCGATGATGGCTTTTCAAACTAGAAATATTTAAATTTTTTAAAAATATATTCCGATTTATTGCAGGAGTTTAAAACTCAACGCCATCGAAATTCTTTATGCTCCAATACAGAAAATAAGTTTTTACTGTAAAAAAATGCATAACCATCCGTGTTTAGCCATGCTTTTCATCTTGTCGTTTTAGAGTGGAACAAGGCCGATCAACGGCTCCCTTTGTGCGCAAGCTGTGTCCGCTTATTATTTCCGCTGGTATACGAAGGAAGACCCCAAAAGAACGATAATTTGCTTGACTCTTCAATTTCCCACCCTCCACCTACAGGAAGCACCTCATCCGAGGAAAAATGATACTGAGGGTGACTCAACTCAAGGCACACTGCAGAATTTAATGTCGCCCGATAACGCGTGCTGCACCTGATATAACAAAGGACGTTTTTCCGCGAATCATGGAAGTTTTTTAAAGCACAATGAGCCATAACAAAAGACAACAGATTTGGAATAATTAATATTCCGTACAAGGCCAAGATCAATTCGCACGAGCAGCCCTGTTTCCGTTGCTATCCGAGCTTGCCATCCCGCTCTCGACACTGACCATGTCGAATGCCGCCGTGGAGAGAGTATTCAGTCACGTGCCCTTCTCAGAGTCAGGCCTAAAGAAGAACGTGTCCCTCTATGTAAAATTTGCTTTCCTTGGGAAGAACGAGTGCTGTAGATACATCAACCTTACTGAAGAAGTTTTAGCACGTTTTAACACGGAAATCATGTATGAGGCGAGTAAACCGGGCACGAACGAGTGATTCATACCTATTTGACTGCAAAAACGTGTGTGGAAAATTTGGGTACTTTTGTGTTTGAAATAAAACGTTCAATGCATTTCAAGATATCGTAGGTCTTACAAGTTGCTCCTAAACTCTAGATATGCAGACGCAGTGCGTTCGAAATAAGGGCGCACATTCGAGCGCACGATTTTTTGGGGTCGGCAGTACATGGCTACTTTTGGGCTACATAAATCTCTTGGAGTTGGCTACTTTTGGGCTCCATAGTCTGGCTTTTGGCGGTTTGAGCTAGAAACTACCTGGCAACCCTGGTCCGTATAAGCTTCGTGGAGAGGGCCGCGTTTTTTTTTACACACGGATGTGTCTCTGAGAACGAATCCCGGACAAAAGCTCACCGGACAAAAGCTCACCGGACAGAAGCTCACCGGACAAAAGCTCACCGGACAAAAGCTCACCCACTTTTTCACAGACCCGGACAAAAGCTCACCAGGAGAAAGTTTCATGTTGGTCTTAACACGAGTGCGGACAACTTAGGTGCACGCGTGCGACACTAAATTGCAATAATTAATTAAATCTGGCAGGCGCATGGTTTGTTGATTATAGTAGAAACAAGTTTATGTATCAGTTGGCTAGGAGCAAATGCAGTCCCCTACTACCTCCATCTGTCTTGGTAGATCTGTGTGTATCTGTAACCCCTCGCAAATATTTTTAAGACGATTGTGCAAGTGCAGAGTGGTTTTTCGCGCCCACTTTACTGGGGGCTCACCTCTCCGGGCTTGTGTCAATGCCGTGGCAACGAGCGCCTGATTTTGCTGTAGGCATTCAATCAGCCTCAAGACACTTAGATGTGCGTGGCCGACGAGCTTCTGGAATTTGGTATTTCATCCTTCGCAGCTGTTGTTCGTCCGGTCTTTATCTTGAAGAGTGGCGTCGCACATATTCCACCGTTCCGGGGGAAACCCCAGTCGTCGTCGGCGCACAGTCAAGCGAAGAAAAGAATTCGCTCTGGGTATCGCCGCAGAAGGAACAGAAGGGTAACGAAAGCGGCCGTTGACACACGCGCAATCAAAATAGTCCAGCAGGCAGCCGATGTCACCGGTAGACTTTTACCTGTCTTTGTGGAACTACCTGTGCTGGAAGGAACGTGAGCCTATCCAAAATCCCGCACAGTTTTCCGAATTAGTCATGTCTTGAGCTTTTCTAGAAGGCCCAACTCCCGTTCCTTCGAGCTATTTTTAAAAATTCGCAACTCAATGGTTTCCATATTACAGTTTTGCTTCAGTTTTCCTTTTAAATCACCTTGAGATAATCCTTCATATCAGATACATTTACTGCGCACAATGACGGAAACAATACAATGTTCTTAGCCGTTCACTTTAAATATACCCTGAAGCCCAAAAAAGCCATTCATTAGTAATAAAGATACTTTGAGCCTAACTTTTGATGGCGCGTTAAGTGTGACATACGCGCAATGAAAAAGCGAGTCCACCGAAGGGTAACTTCGCTTCTTCGGTCGCTCTTCGAATTCAAAAAATTAGCTTCACGATGTTTCTTAGGCGTGGCACAAGGGTGCTCCGGCCTACCTTGAATCAAGCAAGCTTAAGCTTATCACCTTCACTCAGTTTCGGTGACCTAAATTGTGGTCCCAAATTGTTGCCTCTCTGCCTGTTATCGCTTACCCGTTGACATCTTTGCATGGGATAGGGTACAAGTTCTCCTAAATATGGTCCAATGCCCATCGTGTCTGCACTTTATTTCAGCCTGTGTTTCGCCCAGGTAGCAATAAAAAATTGAGGTGAGCTTTTGTCCGGGCTTTTTAAAAAAACGGATGAGTTTTTGTCCGGTGAGCCTTTGTCCGGTGAGCTTCTGTCCGGTGAGCTTTTGTCCGGTTACCTCTGAGAACAAACCACGATTTTAGGGGATTTTCGGGACCCCCAACTTTGTCAAAGGGCGACTCGTTTATCGGACTGTTCGTCACAGCGAGAATGCAGGGAAGGATACTAATTCATACCCGATATCGTGCAGAAGAGAAGAATATTATTTTAAAAAACACAAAAAAACGTAGCGGCAATTTTGACCTCCCTTTCTGTGGACAGGACACTGTAGGTGAACGTGGCTTCCTTGTTTGATTCGCCAAAGTAGCAACAAAGCGGCATTTTACGATCGAGCGAACGCCCTCGGAAACACTAGCTGCTCAATATAATTTTATGGTGAGTTTCACGGCTTTCCACTGCGGCATAAGCACGTGGATAGAAAAACAAACAATGACAACAATAAATGTCGAATATTTTTGGCACGCTCACACCTGCTTTTTCTTCATCATTTGGTGACTCATATGCTGATTTTGGTGGCGCAACCGTACTTCTGACCGGCAATTTTATTGCGTACGCGAAGCTTTTGCGTGCGATCCACTAAAGTTCATTATTTTGGGGTGTCCAAGTTGAAGCGGGGCGCGTTATTTTTCGATCTCTGTCCGAATGATATGAAGTTTCACGTTTTCACCCTGTGAGTGAAGTGAGTTGGTCAGTGCTAGCATCGAAGGCTTACTTCGAACTCTAATTTGGAAATAACGTCTCTGTTGCCGCATCGCGGACAAAGATATATATGCTCTTATCACTATAGAAATATAATTTGGCAGGATTTGTGCTTTTGTTATGATCGTGTACCATTGTAGTCGACGTCATCCCAGCACGGCGTATCGTTTTTGTATTCTGTTCAGCCCTGCAAACCACACTTAGGAAAAAAATGAAAGTTTGCACCTTGTTTGTTTAATTTTTTGTTATACTGCAGAAACACATTGCACCCCGTGTTTTTGAAGGCACGGTAGACGGTGGTGACGGTGAGGAGGCCGACCCCCATGTCCGACAGGGTCTCGCTCGACCTCCTCGGAGGACAGGCCGTTTTCACTGGTGACTGGTGCATACGTGGAGCAACTCCGCGCGCATTGCGTTCTCCATCTCAGAGAACGCAATACATGACTCAGTTCTATCTCGTCATTGCTTCAAAATGACGAGTGTAATTCGCAACTGTAGTCGGTGACAGGTCAAGAACGAAGTGGAAGCTCCTCCTACCCTGTTCCACTTCAGCGGAGCGAACGGTGGAGAGGAGGTCACCCCCTCTCCAGCGTTCGCAATTGGCAAATTTTAGTGTATTAAGCCACTAACTGTCAATTTACGCTCGTTTCTTTACGTCCGCCACAGCCGATAATGTTATCCCGTAAGAATACCAAAAGTATCATTTCTTTCAGAAAAAAACAAACAAACAAAAAACATAATAACAAAAACACCCGGTATATCACAGCTTTGACAACGCTTCACGTGTGTGAGGTTGGATGACCGACAGAGAACCACCGCTGGCCGTGCTCCAGAAGCGGGGAAGTGCAATTTATGGAGACCGATCATCTTATCAGAAAGATGCATACAATCCAGGAAAAGTATTCTCGCAACCATGAGGTTCCAGTTGTACTTACACATGTATTATCATCAAATTTGACGGAGTTCCTTCGAACACTGAAGAGTTGTCAAGAGTAAAGATTATAAAGGAGAATATCAGCAGGAATTTATTGTTTATTCAAAACAAAACAAGCAACAGAAAAACGCATTTGTGCGGCCGGGGCGGCCAGAAGCACGGACTGCGCGCACCCAGCGTGGAACCAGCGAATGAGAAGGCACTCCTAGCAGTCTGTTTTTGAGAGCCACGGCATGCCGGCTGCCGGCCATATGTCCACTTTAATTCTATTATGGCCTTCGACGCGTAAGTACACGCACGAGAATTTTCAACA